GAATATAGGATTGCATCTCCCTGCTCCTGTCCACGTGACTTGCTTTGGTCAACGCGTTGTGAGCAGAAGAGATATGTCACTCTGGATGAGAACCTTTAAGCACCATATTTCTCTCACCATGCCGTGGTAATCAGCGATCCCCTGATGGTGGGGCTGCTACAGGCTGGGTCTGGGAATGACGATGACTTGAAATGAAGCCCAGCCACGTCTGCCAGGCACACAGCATGAATGGGAAATAAATCTTTGGGGTTTTGCTTGTTATGCAGCATAAGCCCAACTATCCTATCTAATAATAACAGCTAGAAATGTCTTCAAGGAACCTAACATCCCAGAAAACCTGGTTTACAAAGTGCTAATCTGGTCCAGTCGGAAGCAGAAGTGCGGTTTAGTTGACAAAGCTAGTTTCCTTATAAAATCCAGGCTGAGTGTAGTGGCCCACACCTATCATCTCAGCAATTTGGAAGGCCAAGGCAGGAGGATTGCTTAAAGCCAGGAGTTGAAGATCAGCCTAGGAAATAGTGAGACCCCCATCTTTACAAAAAAATTAAAAATAAAAATAAAAAGGTTTGCTGGGTGTAGTAGCATGCATCTGCAGTCGCAGCTACTCAGGAGGCTGAGGCAGGAGGACTGTTTGAGTCTGGAGTTCAAGATCAGCCTGGAAAACAGTGAGACCCCCCACCACCACAAAAAAAAATTTTTTTAATTAGCTTTTCATTCATTTTTTTAAAATTAAAACCTCAGGAAGCTGAGGCAGGAGGATTGCTTGAGCCCAGGAGGTCAAGGCTGCAGTGAGCTGTGATTGCACCACTGCACTCCAGCCTGAGCCATAAAGCAAGACCCTGCCTCAAAAAAAAAAAAAAATAATAACTAAAATTAAAATTAAACAAATTAAAAGCAACCCAAATTTCACTGGCATTGGGGAGAGGAGACTGGATCTTCCCTTTGGCGTCATCCACCTATTAGTTTGGGACACCCTGTTGGGGGGCCTTGTTTGTCACCTTCCTGGGGGTGAGCACCCTGAGGTGAGGGGCTCATCTCGTTACCTGTCTCCCAGCACCCGCCCTCTGAGGAGTGAAGGCGAATTGGTGAAAAGAGCCTGGAAGGGCATTCCCCAGGCAGAGGTTCACTCAGGAAGCACGGTGACCCCGGGGAGAGGCTCTGAGCTGCTGACAGGGCTTCAGGGGCTGAAGGGGTGTGCTGGTGGGGGAGGCTTGGAGGCACAGGAAGGTGCTGGGGGTGTGCTGGGTCCTCAGCATGCCCAGCAGCAATGTGGAGGGCAGATGAGCCCCGAGGCTGAAAACAGGCCCCGGCCTCCAGCGGGAAGCTGCTGTAGCAGCCCAGATAGAAAGCACCAGGGCTGACCCTGGCAGTGGTGGGCTGGGGACAAGTGGTCATTTCCAGAGATGACGGCAGAGGCAGCACTGGGACCAGCTGGAGATGGGGTGACGGGCCTCCCTGCGTCCCCAGTTCCAGGCTTGGGTGGCTTGGGAGCTGCAGAGCTGAGGTGCTGTGAACTGGAGGGCTTGATGTCGCCGGGCTGCTGGTGTGGAGTGGAGCCGGAAGGTGGGTAGGTGGCCCCAAAGCCCACCAGAGTCAGAGACTGAGAAGTCATCAGGGGGAGTGCAGCCTTCCCACAGGTGGCTGTGCACACTCAGCAGAGTGGCTGCAGCCAGGCCTTGGTGACAAGCTTGGTGCCCAGGATGGAGAAAGGGCACCTGAAAGTCTGGGGTTGAGGAAGGAGGGGGATTCTAGGACGGTCCGGTCCGCAGTGCCTAGGAAAGAGCCCCTGTGCTGCCGCAGGGCCATTCAGGGAGCGAGGCCGCAACCCCCCAGGAAGGACTGTCCTCGATGAGCTTGGCTGTGAGGGAAGCAGGGGACATAGGTGCTCCTTGGAAAGGACGGAGATGGGGAGAGTGCTTTAAGAATCACGTTTATTAGGAGTTATTCTCTCATGCTGAAAGAAATACACACTATTCACCAAAGAAACTCGGCCAACACATATAAACACAACAAATAAAATACAATTACAAATAACAGCCTGACGATAACTGCTGTAAGGGTTTGATATATATCCTTACCATCTTTTTTTTTTTTTTTTTTTTTTTTTTTAGACAGAGTCTTACTGTGTCTTGGCTCACTGCAACCTCTGCCTCCTGGGTTCAAGTGATTCTCCCACCTCAGCCCCCTGAGTATCTGGAATTACAGGTGCCTGCCACCATGCCTGGCTAATTGTTGTAGTTTTAGTAGAGATGGGGTTTCACCCAGGCTGGTCTTGAACTCCTGACTTCAAGTGATCTGCCTGCCTCAGCCTCCCAAAGTGCTGGGATTATAGGCGTGAGGCACCGCCCAGCCCTCTCAGTCTCTTTATATAGACACACAGATACATATATACACCCACACACACTTTTTTTTTTTTTTTTTTTAAACAAAATCGGCCTCATACTCTGCGCTAAGTTTTGCTGATTACTAAATGAAGAATCTTGGTCCGGGCATGGCAGCTCATACCTGCAATCCCAGCACATTGGGAGGCCAAGGCAGGAGGATCACTTGAGCCCAGGAATTGGAGACCAGCGTGGGCAACACGACAAGACCCTGTCTCTACAAAAAAACTAGCTGGGTGTGGTAGTGCTTGCCTGTGGTTCCAGCTATTTGGGAGACTGAGGTGGGAAGATTGCTTGACCTCAGGAAGTTGAGGCTGCAGTGAGCTATGACTGCACCACTATACCCTAGCCTGGATGACAGAGCAAGGCCCTCATAAAACAAAACTAAACTAAACTAAACAAGAATGTTGCTCCCTGACATGTAATATACTACATACTGATTATTCCTGAGGGTGGATTCCAAAGCACACATGCGCCACAAATTAAAGGGAAGGCTTTGTTTGATAAGAATAAATAAGGATGCATTCATAGGGTGATAAGAAACCCCCAGAAGTGGTTCAGGAAGAGAGAGAGACCTAAGCAAAGGTGCCTCCTGGAGGGGCAGAGAAGGCAGGACTGGGCGGCATCTGAGGCACAGGTGTGGAGGGAAGTCTTGGCCATTTCTATAAGAGCATTACACTTCCTGACTTCCTGATCTTGGTACACACTTGGAAAAAATTATGAAACAAATGCTCATTTTAAGAAGGCAGGGGGGGCAGGCATGGTGGCTCCTGCTCGTAATCCCAGCACTTGGGGAGGCTAAGACAGGAAGACTGCTTAAGTTGATGAGTTCAAGACCAGCATGGGTAAAATAGCAAGACCCTTTTCTACTAAAAATAATTTTAGTAATTAAAAAATATAATTTTTTTTTTTTTTGACAGTCTCACTCTCTTGCCTAGGCTGGAGTGCAGTGGCACAATCTCGGCTCACTGAAACTGCAGCCTCCTGGGTTCAAGAGATTCTCCTGCCTCAGCCTCCCAAGTATCTGGGATTACAGGCACCCACCACCACACCTGGCTAACTTTTGTGTTTTTGGTAAAGATGGGGTTTCACCACGTTGGCCAGGCTGGTCCCAAACTCCTGACCTCAGATGATCCACCCACTTTGGCCCCTTAAAGTGCTGAAATTACAGGCATGAGCCACCACACCCGGCCTAAATAATTTTTAAAACCGGAGAGGAAATAAGTCCCCTGGTGTCCTATCAGCCATTTAACATATGTTTTTCCTGATAGCAATCACAATGCCATGCATACGTCTGTCTATATGGGAATACATTGGTTATTAGAAAATATTGTGAAAGTTTAGTTTTATCTGCTAATGACTGAAGTTATGCCGCTAACAGAACAAAGCCAACTGGGAAACTTGGGCAAAGAAACTTGTAACTTTCTTTTCCAACATGACAAGGGTGGGTTGTCACAAGGAGGCCACGTGGGTGTAAGGCGTGACCTCCCCCACCCCATTCCAGCTCCACAGGGGACAGTGTCTTGCTGTGACATCGGTGGGATCAAGAGTGGAAGACCCTCCCACTCACCAGCCCTGAGCTCACTTACAGAGCAAATACCGAACCGAGAACAGAGGCCTGGGAAACTCACTCAGCCCTCACGGTGTAAGGCGGCAGGTTCAAACCCTGGAACTCCTGCCCCGAACGGGGCTCTATGCACTACGCAACCCCGGCATTATTTTCACAAAGTAGCCTCTTTTCTCGAGTTCATGATCTCAAGAGAACAGGCTCACATAGTTTGTTCCTAGAACCAGTTTCCTTTAAAGGGTCTGTATCCTCAGTCAAGTGCTTTGTTCAACTTGCTGGTTCTTCCACTCCAGGGCACTTACACAAAGCGGGTGAGGGTTGTTACTTTCTTTTCCAACATTTAAGTTTGAGCATGCCATTATTTTTCTTGTATGTGCTGTACTCAGATACATAAATAGAAAAAAAAAAAATACACACGTTTCACCTTCAGTCCTATACACTCAGCTTGCTAATAAATTACCACACCTGGGGGAAAGTGGGTTCTGGTCTCAAGGGGTTGTCTCCATCCAGGCTGACAGAGCAGGGAGGACAGAGAGAGGTCAGGGTCCTGAGAGAATGGGAAGGATCAAAGAGCGAAAAAAAAGAACACAGACCAGAGCGCGTGGAAAGTCAGTCAAGTTCAAGTTGTGGGCTCCAGTGGAGAGAAGGCAGAAGCTCCTGCTGTGTTTCTCCGCCTGGGGGCGCTGAGGTGACTGCCCTGCACACTAGATTTTTTTGGGGTTTTTAATTTTTTTAAATTTTTTGAGTCCGAGTTTCAGTCTTGCTGACCAGGCTGGACTGCAATGGCACAATCTCAACTCACTGCAACCTCTGCCTCCCGGGTTCAGGCAATTCTCCTGCCTGAGCCTCACAAATAGCTGCAATTACAGGTATGCACCACCACACCCGGCTAAATTTTGTATTTTTAGTAGAGACGGGGTTTCACCATGTTGGCCAGGCTGGTCTCGAACTCCTGACCTCAGGTGATCTGCCCACCTCAGCCTCCCAAAGTGCTGGGACTACAGGCGTGAGCCACCGCACCCAGCTAAGTTTTTTGTTTTTTTTTTTTTTTGAAGGCTTTTTCTATTTAACATCTCATTGATTCACATAATACAAAATTCAACAGATAACAAAACTTCCTTACATTTTTATAAAAATTCTTTAAACAGTCTTTTAGTCAGGTGGAAAAGGTGTTCTAAAATGTAAATCGGTTATCATTTTGTTACCCCTGCAAGGAGATGCTTTTAGGTGTCAAGGTAATTATCTCTGCAAGCCACCTGACAGGCAGTGTCCTTCTTGGGGACCAACTGCACCCCCTCCCACTGCACGGGGAGGTGGGATCCTAGGCTTCCTGGTGTCACTTCCCAACCAGCTAAGCTAACGCATGCTTATGTGCTGGGCTGCCACCGCCACCCAGACCAAGGGTTTGTTCCCAGCTTTTCATAAAACCACCTCAGCTCACATCACAGCAGCGTGAATACACAGCAGTGCAGCGGTAGCTGAACACAGATGAGACTCTTCAGCACCCCTGAAAGAATCTCCTAGACTCGCGTCCTCAAATGACTCACAAACTCTTCTCCAGGGACAAACTGGGAAAGGCGGAGAGCCCCTCAGCGCCCGCGGGCACTTCACTGCCCAAGTAGAAGTTCAGGCTGGACCTGAGGATGGACCGTGGGGCGGCCCCCGCTTTGGCTTCCGCAGGACAGACCGCGGGGGAGCGGGGAGCCCGGCAGTCCCAGTCCTGCCTGGGTTTGCTTGGGGAAGCCTGTTGGCGGCTGGCTGGCATTGGAGCCCTGAAACACACAGAGGAGGGTGGCTTAGCAGCTGTTCCCGCTGCTGCCGAGTTCAGGCTCGGCTTCCGTGGACCACACTGCCGGCCACGCGAGGGCACTGCCAGGCACACCGGGGAATCCAGTCACAGCCAGAGACACTGCTCCCTCCGGCCCTCAGTGCTGGGCTGATGGCCCCATGTAGGTCTTCCAAGCCTGTGGCCCTCCCCGCTACCCAGACGCCTCCCGCCGGACATCCACAGGTGTCACCGACCATGAATCCCTGAAGGGGCCCATCGGTTTCCTCCACACAAACCTGCTTGCCTGCCAGGGTGTCCTTCCACCGCCTGGCACCACTGCCCACCTGTCACCGGGGCTGCCCCCTCCTCGGGCTTGGAATCAACAGCTCCCTCCTGTCCAGGAGCCTGGGGAAGCCTCTCAGCCTGCAGATCGTCCCTGTCTGGGTCCTGGCAGCTCTCCTTACTGCCTGCTGCCAGCCGGGGCTCAGGACCCATCTTCTACTCAGCCACGACTGCCCTCTTCCCTATGCAAACTGGATCTCTGGCATCCCCTACTTTTAAATCCTTCCGTGTCTACCAATAATAGCAACAATAGCAAAAGAGAGCACACCTCCTGATGCCCACCGTATGCCAAGTACCATGCTACTGGCTCTCAGAAGCTCAGGGAAACCCAGTGAGAGGCCGGGGATCATCTCTGCCGACCAAGTGAAGAAGCCAAAGCCCACGATTTTCAGGATAACGCCCAACCCTGGGAGCCAGGCCCTGAGCCCCGGCTCCGTTTTCAGAATTCAGGAAGTAGCAGCATCCCTTGGGGTCTGTCAGCGCAGACTGCAGGGCTCCGCCTGGGAGAGTGTGACTAAGTACATCAGAGGGTGAAGGACAGGGAACCTCCAATCCCAGGCACCCAGCCAGCACCCGCACGCTGCAAGGGTCTCGGCCACCACCGCCCCTCCAGGGCCCCCCCTTCCTGTGCCACGGGTGCCAGCGCTCCTTCCCTCTGGCACCCCGGTGCTGTCCGACACCCCCTGGCCCTCACCCCGGCCACTCTGTCCGGGGCACCTTTCCCTGCAAATCCGAGGCCTTTCTGCTCCTCCACCATCAGCACTGGATGGGAAGGCTTCCGAGGCCCCGGGGCAAGTCGGCCTGGGTGACAGGTCTCAGCAGGTGCACCGGGACCTCTGACGGACTCAGCTGCCTCCCATGAGACAGGGTCCCCGCATCCTAGGGCAAGCTACTGGCTTGGCGTTCAGCCAGCTGTTTCTAGAATGCTGTGTGAGGACTCGCCCATCCGGCCCACGCACCCACAGCCAAAGCATTTACCTGGAGGTGGGGAGCAGACACATCAGCGCTCGAGTGAAGATCTTCGAGGTCACCCACTGCAGCCACTGGACGTCGTCGGGAATATCCGGAAGCCATGTCACCAGCCTGCAGGGACAAGACCGAGCCCACAAACACACAGGCAGACACAGCAGCACTCTGTTAACGAAGCTGCCAACGTCACCTCTAACCCCAGTCTGATGACTTCCCAGAAGGTCATCATGCCAGGACAAAGACGAGCCCACCCGAAATCTCTAAAGCAAAATGAGGCTACTTCTGGTTCAAGAAAGCTCATCTTGGCCACCCAAAATGCTGGGATTACAGGCGTGAGCCATCGCACCAACTTTTAGGTGATTCTAAAGGGAAACAGGTCAGAGGGGCAGCAAGGATTCTGCTTCCAGGCCTGGCCCTTCCACTAGGCATCTCTGTGACCTGAGTGGTGACCCCAAGCTCTCCAGGCCTCAGCTCCCTCAGGCAATCACGAGAGACTGGACCAGCTGCTATGTGAGGCCACTGGCAGCTCTAGGAGTCCCCAGGGGCAGTTTCTGGGCTTGCCCTGAGTTACAGGTGTGTCTATGGCCTGAGGACAGGTGGGCAACATTGAGGGACATCGCAGAAAGCCCGTGAGCTTCGCCCTGCTGCACGACAAGCCAGGCCTCCAGCTACAGGCCTGCATCTGTTACCCTGTTTCCTCTTCTTATTAACCCTGTGAGGAAGGCCCAGAGCCAGCTGAAAAGCTCACCTCTGGACAATCGCAATGGCGGACTCCACGGGCAGGGTACAGGGCAGCATCATGTAGGACATTATCTTAACGGGCAGCAAGTTGCAAATCTTGCTCATGTAACCACCTCTGTCCTTCAGTGCTTCACTCAGTGCTGAAAAAGACCGTCTGGAGCTATTATCTCCCACCAGTGTGAGAAACCCAACCACTTTACTGTTGGTGCTTAGCATTTCCATGAAATACACCCATCCTGGCAGCCAAAGGGTCGCAGGCACTCACAAAGGAGACACGGGGTGGGGTTTGTCAGGCTGCTCCTTTCTTTTCTTTTTGGACTAAGTTTCTTTCTGTCGCCGAGGCTGTAGTGCAGGGGTGAGATCTCAGCTCACTGCAATCTCCCCCTCCCCAGGTTCAAGCAATTCTCCTGCCTCAGCCTCCTGTGTAGCTTGGGATTACAGGCGTCTGCCACTACACCCAGCTACTTTTTGTTATTTTTAGTAGGGACGGGGTTTCACCATGTCGGCCAAGCTGGTCTCAAACTCCTGACCTCATGATCTGCCTGCCTCAGCCTCCCAAAGCACTGGAATTACAGGCGTGAACCACCGTGTCCAACCCAGGCTGCTCCCTTCACAGCAAAGGCAGTGTGAAGCTCAAGCAGGGCACACCACCCAGAACAGCCGCGGGTGCTTATAGGACACAGGGCCCCCACTCCCAGTTCCCTTAACTTGACAAATGTGCTTGGAAGTCACCATTCCAGAAAACCTGCTTTTATTTCCCTTGAAAAGACATGTCCATTTCCAATATCATAGCTGAAATTAAATAGAAAATGGGGCGTAAGTCTTGAGGCAAAGCATCCTCTCATATTCAGAAATCTGAATATACCCCAGAGCTAGTAATGTGACAGGAACAGCTGCATCAGGCTCGGTGCGGTGGCTCAGACCACCTGCCCAACCTGGGCAAAGTGGTGAAACAACATCTCTACTAAAAACACAAAAATTAGCCCGCTGTGGTGGTGCATGCCTGTAATTCCAGCTACTCAGGAGGCTGAGGCATGAGGATCACTTGAACCTGGGAGGTGGAGGCTGCAGTGAACCAAGATCACACCACTGCACACTCCAGCCTGGACAACAGAGCAAGACTCTTACCTCAAAAAAAAAAAAAAAAAAAAAAAAAATCTACATCAAATGTCACAGCATCTATGTTCTCCTAGGAACTTCTTAGCCACCACTGATTTTACAAGCTGGTCCTTGATCCTCTGCTGGATTCCAGAGCCTTCTTCCTGGAGCCCCAGTCTTTTACTCCCTCTCTTTAATGACCTCGTGATGCCTCAGGTCATATTAATCTGAAGACATGGTTTGGATCTGTGTCCCCAACCACATCTCATGTCAAATTTAATCCCCAGTGTTGGAGGCGGGGCCTGGTGGGAGGTGATTGGATCATGGGGTCGGATTTCCCCACTGGTGCTGTACTCTTGATAGTGAGTTATCCTGAGATCTGGTTGTTTAAAAGTGTATGGCACTGGCCGGGCGTGATAGCTCACACCTGTAATCCCAGCACTTTGGGAGGCCGAGGAGGGCAGATCACAAGGTCAGGAAATCAAGGCCATCCTGGCCAACATGGTGAAACTCCGTCTCTACTAAAAACACAAAAAAATTAGCCGGGTGTGGTGGTGCATGCCCGTAGTCCCAGCTACTTAGGAGGCTGAGGCAAGAGAATCGCTTGAACCCAGGAGATGGAGGTTGCAGTGAGCCAAGTTCGCATCACTGCACTCCAGCCTGGGCAACAGAGTGAGACTCCATCTCAAAAAAAAAAAAAAATAAATGTATTCTCTCCCTCTCCCTCTCCCTCTCTCTCTCTCTCTCTCTCACTGCTGCTGCAGCCACTTTCACCTTCTGCCACGACTGTAAGTGTCCTGAGGCCTCTCCAGAAGCTAAGCAGATGCCAGCACCATGCTTCCTGCTCAGCCTGTGCAACTGTGAGCCAACTGAACGTCTTCCTTTATGAATTACACAGTCTCGGGTTGTTGTTGCTATTGTTGTTGTTTGAGAGGGAGTCTTGCTCTTGTTGCCCAGTCTGGAGTGCAATGGTGCGATCTCGGCTCACTGCAGCCTCTGCCTCTGGGGTTCAAGCAATTCTCCTGCCACAGCCTCCCAAGTAGCTGGGACTACAGGCACCCACCACGACGCCCAGCTAACTTTTGTATTTTTAGTAGACTCGGGGGCTTCACCATGTTGGTTAGGCTGGTCTCACACTACTGACCTCAAGTCATCTGCCTGCCTCAGCCTCAAAGCGTTGGCATTACAGGTGTGCACCCCCACGCCTAGCCAGGTGTTTCTTTACAGCAAAGCAAGAACAAATGAATGCACCTGGACAGTTCAAGAACAAGGAATCATATCTGACTCATTTTTCAGTTTCTCCAAATGCCCACGGCTGGTTCGCAGGTTCCTCTGTCTGTCTGAGTTAGGCCATGTCCAGGCCATTCTAACAAAATGCCACCAACTGAGTGGCTTATAAAATAACTAACATTGGGCCGGGTACGGTGGCTCAAGCCTGTCATCCCAGCACTTTGGGAGGCCGAGGCGGGTGGATCACGAGGTCAAGAGATCGAGACCATCCTGGTCAACATGGTGAAACCCCGTCTCTACTAAAAATACTAAAAATTAGCTGGGCGTGGTGGCACGTGCCTGTAATCCCAGCTACTCAGGAGGCCGAGGCAGGAGAATTGCCTGAACCCAGGAGGCGGAGGTTGCGGTGAGCTGAGATCGCGCCATCGCACTCCAGCCTGGGTAACAGGAGTGAAACCCCATCTCAGAAAAAAAAAAAAAAAAAAAAAACTGACATTGATTTTTCAGAGTTCTAGAGGCTGGGAGGCCCCAGATCAAGGGCAGCAGACGTGCTGGTGTCTGGTGAGGTCCTGCTTCTTCATAGACACCACCTTCCTCGTCCTCACATGGTAGAAGGGACAAGGGACCTCTCCTGGGTCCCTTTAATAAGGGCACTAACCCCATTCACGCAGGCCCGGTCCTCATGACCTCATCTCCTCCCAAAGCCTCCACCTCCTAAGACCATCATGTTGAGAGGTTCGGATTTCAACAGATAAATTTCAGGTGGAACAAAATCATCTGGACCATAGCACCATCTGTCCCCTCAATATTTGATGACCTTATAAAATACAAAACCATTTGCCGGGTACAGTGGCTCACGCCTGTAATCCCAGCACTTTGGGAGGCTGAGGCGGGTGGATCATGAGGTCAGGAGATCGAGACCATCCTGGCTAACAAGGTGAAACCCCATCTCTACTAAAAATACAAAAAAAATTAGCCAGGTGTGGTGGCACAAACCTGTAGTCACAGCTACTCAGGGGGCTGAAGCAGAATCTCGTGACCCCGGGAGGCAGGGGTTGCCATGAGCCAAGATCGCACCATTGCAAGCCAGCCTGGGCAACAGAGTGAGACTTTGTCTCAAAAAAAAAAAAAAAAAAAAAGAAAGAAAGAAAAAATAAAAAAATTAGCAAAGTGTGGTGGTGCATGCGCACTGCGTAGTCCCAGCTACTTGGGAGGCTGAGGCAGCAGAACTGCCTGAGCCCGGGAGGCGGAGGTTGCAGTGAGCTGAGATCATGCCACTGCACTCCAGCCTGGGTGACAGAGCAAGACGCTCTCTCAAAAAACAAAAACAGAAAACATTACTATTCAATGGAGGTTCCATGGAGGTGGGTTTAGGGGAAGGGGGAAACCAGGAGAAAGCTCTGAGTAACGGGCCAAGTCCCAGAGGCAGGCCCCCATCCCTGGGGTCCACAGAACCCAGCATGGTGGGAGCTCAGGCGCCACTTCAGGGAGACAGGGCTGGAAAGGGGAACGGGGGCCCTGGCTGCTGCAGACAGGAGCCATACGGGGAACCCCAGTGGGCTCAGCTGGAGTTTGTTTTCCTCCCGTCATGACCCCAGGGGAAGGAAGACCCGGCAAGGTGCCAGGATGGGGGAGGCCTGTGCTGGGGGTGTCGGCGGCAGGCCGGCCGTGCAATGGGAGGGGATGTTCCCGACCGCCTGTCGTGGCTGCCTCGCCCCATCGCCCCCATGTGGCAGCACCACCTTCCTTCATAACACGCAAGAAAGAAAACGTGGTGCTGCCCGTGCCCACCTCGAGGAGTGGGTACCTATAGCGAGCCTGGGCGAGAGGGTGTCCAGGATGCTCTCATCCCAGGGCAGGATGCTGAGACGCAGGTGCTCCAGCAGCTCGTCCCCCTCCAGCCTCACAGCCAAGGCGGCCAGCTCGGGGGAAGATTCCAGGCTCGCGTGTTCCCAGGCCGGCGCGGCGACCTCAGAATCCATCCCTTCTGAGGATGACTTCAGGCCAGGCTGGGGCCTGCTGCAGAGGCCTACGAAGGGCACAGCAAACAAGCCCGTTAGGCGACAATGTGGGGAGCGGGGATCATTACCCACCCATCCACCAAACTGCAGGGAGGCAGGCTGCTGCCCTGCTACTAGCCAAACGCAAGGGGAACGGGGAAGGGAAGAGAATGAGGGCAGGTGTTTGCCACCCGGAGAAAGGAGTGAGGCTTTAAAGCAGGACACACATGAGCTTGGCTCCTGTTAGCTGTGTGGGCTCCATCGCCACGTCTGGATACGTGAGGTGCAAAGGTGGGGGTTAGTGTTCGTTTACAACTGAACCACCGGCTACACCTGCCTCCCAGGCCCTGAGCCAGGCACTTCACCATCAGGCCTTACAGCAACTGTTACCATCATCTCCATTTTGCAGCCGAGAAATCAGAAGCATGAGACGTTAAGACACTTATCTAAAGCCACACAGCCAGTACATAGCAGAGCCAGGATTTGAAGCCGGGTCTGATGTCGAAAAGGGTACTCTTCCGTCACACAGCCTTGGAAGCAGCACCCAGCAAGGAAGGACTGGGCACCTGTATGTGCCAGGCCCTGCCCTGGGTGCTGGGACTCAGCTACCAGCACCAGTGAGTAGCCCTTGCTCTTATAGCATTTGCAGGCTGGGTGGGAGGAGGGGGGCTTCAGATGCCCACAGCTGCGCGTGGCCCAACTCTGGCTTCCGACCTCAGGCTGAAAAGACCAGGGGCTGCTCCTCGGCCCTGTGCCTTTCTCCCCGAGATAACCTCACGTTCTCGCTTGCCCCGGCTCTCTCCAGCTTCTCTCAGACGCCCTCCTCAGCCTCTGAGATGTCCCTTCCCTCAGGAATGTTTCCAGGTGTCTGTTCTCAGGGAGATGGTGCCTCCAGCATCTCTGGCACATCAGCATTTCCTGCCAAACTGGTACCCTCCTAATGCCCTCAGCCCTCGACCCCTGGGCACAGCCCCCCGTCTTCCCTCGCCCACCTGCCGACGCCAGACGCCGGGACTGCTCTTCCATCTTCCTCTTCACAAACGTCTCATCGGTCATTTCCAAGTCCTGCTCCCCCGGGCCCCTTCCTCCTCAGGACCCTCACTGCCCCACTGGCCTCCTAGACGCTGGTCTCCCCCTTCCTGTCCCACAGCCAGGGGGCTCCCAAAGCTCTCCCCTGATCCCCTCACTCCAGACCACAGCAGCGCTCAGTGGCTCCCTACTGCCCCGGGATGCAGCCCCCCATATCCAAAAGGCCCAGCCCGCCCTCCTCTCCCATTTTGCACCGTTGTTTGCCGCCTCTTCTCCAGCCACCTGTCCGTGTCCCCACTCCCACCCGTCCAGCTACACAGGCCTTCGTCCTCGCCCGTGCCCAGCAGGCCTCGCACCCGTGCCCCCCGTGCCCAAGGCTCTCCCACTCATCCGCAAGGTCTCAAGGTGGATTCACATCCTCCGAGAGGCCCTTCTTCCCCTGGGGCCTTGGAGATCCATCCGGAACGATCCTCCAGCATCCCGTATCTTCTCCGCGGCCCCTGTGCTTTGCCATTGACACAGCATCACCTTCTGCTTACTCACCTGCTCACTTCTGTCACAGGCTGGCAAGGGCCACACCTCCGTGTTCACTGCAGGGCCCTAGCACACAGCAGTGAACATTTTCTGAGCAGATAAACACGTGTATGATCTTACAAACGCAGTCTCCCCCGTCTTGGCCAAGAACAAATTCAGAAGACCAATACGTCAGCCAACTTTAGCATGGAGGAAAAATAGCTCCCGACACATCTTTTTGGTTTCACTGTAATATTTCTAGAGCAGAAGCCCCTCACCCCAGCCCCGACAAGCCAGGATGACTTGAAGGCAGCAACTCGCTCTGGGACGGAGAGGAAAGTGGTCTAGTGGGCACCGACCCACAGCTGACAGGATGGGAACTCTCATTGCTGCCTCTGGGGCCCAGGCGCACAGACTGTTTAACTTCAGCCCTTGTTAAACTCAAGGATCACATGAGGTCGAGCTGGAAAGAAAAACCGCCTTCGGAGAAGGGGACCCTGCGGAGGGAGAGGGCCCTGGAAGCACGACATCCCCGTCCAGATCTCGGCGCTGCCCCTCAGGGAGGGGTGTGTGCTGCTTGGCTTTCCTCTCCAAGCCTCTGTTTCCCCATCTGTGAAATGGGACAGAGGTTTCCTATCTCTGGGGCTCAGGAGCCGGCTGAGCATCAGGGGGAAGGCGTTGGGCACAGAGTGTCAGAACAAAGGCAAATCGCAAGTCTTTACCCAGACTTGATAGACAAGCCAACGCTCGTCAAGAAGACGTATCTGATCTTCCGAGCCATACATACCCTTCTCTTCCAAGAACCTGAACGCGTCCAAATACCCTCGAAGGCATATCTCTCCCAGCACCTGTGAGCAAAGCAAAGGGCCTACAGCATGGAGATACTAAGCACCATTGACGTAAGCATCACTGGAAGACCGCAGAGGGCCCTGAGGAATCGTGCGGGCTCCGAGCCTGCTGGCTGGGGGTACTGAGCCACCGGGGCGCTGAGCAAAGGGCTCTGTGCTCCCAGGAGACAGTTCCCTACAGGTCTTGGCTCGAATATCACCCCTCCACAGAGACTTTGTCGGCACCCCACCAAAGCAGGAGCTTGTTTCTTTTTTTTTGTTTTTTTCTTTTTTGAGACGGAGTCTTGCTCTATCACCCAGGCTGGAGTACAGTGGTGTGATCTCAGCTCACTGCAACCTCTGCCCCGCCCCGGTTAAAGTGATTCTCCTGCCTCGGCCTCCCAAGTAGCTGGGATATCAGGCACCCGCCACCACGCATGGCTAATTTTTGTATTTTTAGTAGAGACAGGTTTCACCATGTGGGCCAGGTTGGTCTTGAACTCCTGACCTCAAGCGATCCACCCGCCTCGCCTCCCAAAGTGCTGGGATTACAGGCATGAGCCACTGCACCTGGCAGGAGTTTGTTTCTTTGGGCTCCCTCGGTCCTGGGATAAGCCTCCACTCTAACACATTTTGCAGCCTGTCCCAATTGTCACTACGACAATAAGAGCCGTCTCCTCTACTCACCTGCTTATGAAGCACACGGGAAAGCCAACCGTGTTAGACAGCCTTCCCTCTCCCTTGGGCTGCGGGGCCTGCATTGCATGCACTGCTCCTTTCTTTTTCCTCAGGAGCACCAAAGGCTGGTGTCCATGGTCTGTGCTTCTCTTACTACGGTAGAGTGGTAAGGCATACCAAAACAGCGACACTCAAAAAAAGCTTAAACCCCCAAATGCAGTTGTTCTTGACCATGTTTGCAAATAAGAATCATCACGGCCGGGCGCGGTGGCTCACGCCTGTAATCCCAGCACTTTGGGAGGCCAAGGCGGGTGGATCATGAGGTCAGGAGTTCGAGACCAGCCTGACCAACATGGTGAAACCCCGTCTCTACTAAGAATACAAAAAGTAGCTGGGCGTGGTGGCAGGCGTCTGTAATCCCAGCTACTTGGGAGGCTGAGGCAGGAGAATCGCTTGAACCTGGGAGGAGGATGTTGCAGTGAGCCAAGATCACACCACTGCACTCCAGCCTGGGTGACAGAGTGGGTCTCCTTCTCAAAAATAAATAAATAACAGAATCGGCTGGGCGCGGTGGCTCAAGCCTGTAATCCCAGCACTTTGGGAGGCCGAGGCGGGTGGATCATGAGGTTGAGAAATCGAGACCATCCTGGTCAACATGGTGAAACCCCGTCTCTACTAAAAATACAAACAAACTAGCTGGGCATGGTGGCACGTGCCTGTAATCTCAGCTACTCAGGAGGCTGAGGCAGGAGGATTGCCTGAGCCCAGGAGGCGGAGGTTGCGGTGAGCTGAGATCGCGCCATTGCACTCCAGCCTGGGTCACAAGAGCGAAACTCCGTCTCAAAAAAAAAAAAAATAGTAATAATAATAATAAATAAAAGAATCATCTTAGTGGCTGGGTACAGTGGCTTATGCCTATGACCCCAACACTTTGGGAGACTGGGGTGGGAGGATAGCTTGAGGCCAGGAGGGTGAGACCAACCTGGACAACACTATAAAAAATTTAAAAATTAGCCAGGTGCGTGCCTGTGGGTCCCAGCTACTCGGGAGGCTGAGGTGGGAGGATGGCTTGAACCCAGGAGTTTGAGGCTTCAGGGAGCACCAGTGAGCCGAGCACCACCACACTCCAGTCGGAGTGACAGAGCAAGACCCTGTCTCAAAAACAAACAAAAAAAAAATCGTCTTTATAACTAAACAAACAAAAAAATCCTGAGGCCTGTGCTGCACCCCGTGACTGTAGACACAGCCTGGGAAGTGGATCTGAGTTTGAGGTCTGGGTATATGTTCCCAGGTGATTCCCATAATCAGGGTGGTGCCTCACCTGAGCTTCTGGGACAAGCGCCTTCTATTCCTGTTAACCATCAATGATAAGGTCTGTTTCTGTTTGTGAAGAGAGCAACCCGTATCTCCTGGCAATCAGGGAGGCAAAGAAGAGCTGCACCCCAGAACCCCCCACGCCCCACCCACTCACCTTGGGATCCGGGGGGACAAATGCCATCGATAAAAGGTGGAGGTTCCCCGAGCAGAGGCGCAGGCTGAGCTTGGTGATGTCCACGTGGAGAAAGTTTGTCGACTTCACTTTCGGGCAGATGTCGTATTCCCCGTAGAAGGGCGACACAGTGATGGTCGTTTTGGCGTCAGTGAAGGGTATGCTGTCACTGACTCCTCCATCCACGTACCGCTTTTAAAGAAGGAGAAAAGGACTGGAGGTAGCTGAGGCTCTGGGTCAGTGCCTAACGAGCTTCTCAGAGCTGCCGGCAGGCTGATACGCAGGGACGACGACAGCTTTGGAATCGCTCCTGTGACAAATCCCTACTGAGCACTGCTGTGCTAGACCAGGCTGTCCTCTGGCTCTCAGGGCTGCTGTGTACTGTTGCACAGTGTGTGCACTGCACAAACATGCCTGGCAAAGAGGCAGATCGCGAATGGAGTCCATGTTGTGCTGGCCAAGTCCTAGGGCTGGATGGGCACCCGCAGGAGTGCCCTTATAATGTGCCTAAGGGGGACATATGAACTACGGTTGCTCAACGCACTGGGGACAGAATGTGACAGAAACCCAAAGGAGATAAATGGTCATGGTTCCAATCCACCCCTTGCTGCTTGCAAGGAGGATACACAAATCTGGGCAAGATCTTTAACCTGTGAGCCCATCTTTCTCCACACCTTGATAATCAGAACCACCTGGAGGGACCTTCGAGCCTTTTCTTTTTTTTTTTTTTTTTTGAGACATAGTTTCACTCTTGTTGCCCAGGCTGCAGTGCGATGGCACGATCTCGGCTCACCGCAACCTCTGCCTCCCAGGTTCAAGCAATTCTCCTGCCTCAGTCTTCCAAGTAGCTGGAATTACAAGCATGCACCACCACACCCAGCTAATTTTGTATTTTTAGTAGAGACAGGGTTTCTCCATGTTGGTCAGGCTGGTCTTGAACTCTCGACCTCAGGTGATCTGCCTGCCTTGGCCTCCCAAAGTGCTGAGATTACAGGTGTGAGCCACTGTGCCCAGCGACTTTTGACACTTAAATGAAACAAATGAACCTGGGACCTCAGAAAATGTCCTCAAACCCACAATAGAGCAGCATTTTGGATAAATTATTCTAAGGATGAGTTTTCCTTTCCTCTATATCCTTAAACAATCTTATTGCTCGTAGCTCAGCTGGGGGGAGCTCAGGCAGGCAGCCTTTGCTACAATCGGGACAGAGCCTGCACCTGTGAAACTTCTGTCTGCGATGATTTCCAGCCACAGCCGTCACAGCCAGCCACCAGATGCCCACAGAGGAAGGCCTCCAAAAGATCACAGCTGGGACACTCTCCCCAGTCCACCCTTCCACACGGAGGAATTTCAGAGCAGAATTTGGCCTAAAACAGGTCCAGGAAAGAATCAGGCATGATTAGCCACACCTTAGTCATCAACATTCTTGCCTGAAGTCCAGAAATGACCAGGAGTATACACAGCAACATGTCCAGAATTGTAGCCACACAATTTCTAGGGCAGATGTAGGAAGGTATCACAAACCTCACAGCAGCTGGGCACGGTGGCTCTCACATCTGTCAATCCAGCCCTTTGGGAGGCTGAGGCACGTGGATCACTTGAGGCCAGGAGTTTGAGACCAGCCTGGGCAACATGGTGAAACCCTGTCTCTACTAAAAATACAAAAATTTAGCTGGGCGTGGGGGCGTGCGCTTGTAATCTTAGCTGCTCGGAGGGGCTGAGGCAAGAGAATCACTTGAACCCAGGAAGTGAGGGTTGCAGTGAGCTGAAATCGCACCACTGCACTCCAGTCTAGGCAACAGAGTGAGACTCTGGCTCAAAAACAAACAAACAAAATCCATGGCATAAAGGGACACAGAACGAAACACCAGGAATCTGGAGTGAAGGCCAAGGAGGAAGGCCGCTGGTAGATCATTTTCATTCACGGGGTAGTCTGAAGCCCAGATATTCTCCTGCCACGTAGAACTCTTCCATGCATTTTGAGCCTTTTTATGTAATGTTTTGAATTTAGGAGCTCCAGTGGTGCAATCGTTTGGCGTGTGGTGCGTACACAGTAATGTTTTGAATTTGCATGCGTTGAATTTCAAGAACAATGTGCTCGAACCTTCAGCAGGATTCCCATGAGCATACACAGTGGATGATGATGTGGCATCCCTGGTCTCCATGCACCAGATAGCAGTGGCACTCCCCCAGCGGTGACAACCCAAACTGTCTTCTGATGTGGCCAGACATCCCCAGCAGGGGTTGGGGAAGGATGTAAGACTAGCAAGTGACCCGGCACAGACCCAGTGCCTGCAGAACACACACTCCCACTGCAGCTTCTCTGCCCCCCTGGCGTGGCTCAGAAATCAGCCAATACACATATCCACTGAACTCAGCAACTCTGAATACTGCCAGCAGCTTCTGACCAAAGCCACGGGCTGAAAAGGACAGAGTAGCACCCAGAAGGGCTTGAAGCTCTACACCAAGAGGAAGAGCCGGAACTGCGCACTGCGGAGCCAGGGGCCTCACAACGGGGCTGCTGGGTGCAGTCCTGCTGAGTTCTGGGGAAGAAGAAAACCCACGTAAAGCCGCCAGCATGACAAGGGGCTGGGGTCCTGCTCACGCCTGACCAAGTGTGGCAAAGTCAGAAATCCAAAACGTGCTTTGGTCACTCAGTGGCTGGGCACTCCGGTGGCCCTGTGGACTGCTATCCTGGACCCCAAACTACAGAGCATGAGAAGGGCCACCCTGCAGTGAACCAGGCAAGACATGCCCCGTTCTGACGGAGGGCAGAGAGTGACCTGGGCACAGGCTCCCTGGCTGTGCTCCTTGGGCAAGTTGACTCTCAAGTTCCCCACAGTTGCACGGGATGAATGATCGCATCTTCCCTCAGTTGTCAGGACACCGTACAAGAACGCGCAGGAGTACGTGGCCCGTAATGGGAGGCTCGTCACGCGAGTCCCTCCACCACGTGGCTCTGCCAGTGCTACATGCAGGACGGCATCAAAGGTGCCGCTGCTGCTCTTGTGAGTTCAGAAATGACCCTAAATGGCCAGTGTTTTACAGGCTAAACTTCCTCCTGCACAGCACAAAGTGGCAAAACAAAACGAAGCACAAGTCTGGGTTTGGCCAGGCCTGGAGGTGGTTTTGTTGTTGTTTTGTTGAGGAAATATATGACTGTCGGTCAGGCACAGCGGCTCACACCTGTAATCCCAGCACTTTGGGAGGCTGAGGCAGGAGGATCACCTAAGGTGAGGAATTTGAGACCAGCCCGGCCAACATGGTGAAACCCCGTCTCTAATAAAAATACAAAAATTAGCTAGGTGTGGTGGTGGGGGCCTGTAATCCCAGATGCTCAGGAGGCTGAGAATGGAGAATCACTTGAACCTCAGAGGCGGAGGTTGCAGTAAGCTGAGATCGTGTCACTGCACTCTAGCCTGAGCAACAGAGTGAGACTCTGTTTTGAAAAAAAAAAAAAGAAAGAAAAAAAATATATATGACTGTTACGGTTCCCCCTAAGAGTAAAGCTCTAAAGGTCTACCTTCCAGCGGTAACAAGTCTTCAGCATCATATTCTTTCTCTCTCTCTCTTTCAAGATGGAGTCTCGCTCTGTCACCCAGGCTGGGGTGCAGTGTTGTGATCTCAGCTCACTGCAACCCTCACCTCCCAGGTTCAAACGATTCTCCTGCCTCAGCCTCCCTAGCAGCTGGGATTACAGGTTCACGCCAACATGCCCAGCTAATTTTTGTGTTTTTAGTAGAGACCAGTTTTCACCATGTTAGCCAGGCTGGCCTCAAACCCCTGGCCTCAAGCGATCTGCCTGCTTCGGCCTCCCAAAGTGCTGGGATTACAGGCATGAGCCTCCATGCCCAGCCAATGTCATATAGTTTAACTAGGTCACTGAGAAGCTATCTTTGATATTCATGGTGCAGATTAAGTGACCCAGCTGGTTTGCCTTACAGATAGCGAGATAATTAATTATACAGGAAGTAAGTTTTGCTGCCAGGGTAGCCTGGAAGTTGGGCCAGCTGTGGCTACTCTGTCTGAAAGGCAGTGAGGCATGGGGCTCCATCACGGGACAGAACCCCAGGTGCCTGACACTAGTGCCTTGCAGGCGGGAGCTGCCTGAGCATGTTTTAGAGCAGGCGTCCCCAAACTACGGCCCACGGGCCACATGCGGCCCCCCGCTGCACTTCAGGAAGGGGCACCTCTTTCATTGGTGGTCAGTGAGAGGAGCACAGTCTGCGGCGGCCCTCCAACGGTCTGAGGGACAGTGAACTGGCCCCCTGTGTAAAAAGTCTGGGGACACCCGTTTTAGAGGGGAAGCCCCCAGGATTCAGGACTAAAGCCGACTTACCACGCCTCTGAAGGAAGGAGGGATGAGGCCGCTGTAGAAAGGGATGAAGGACGAACACAACAAGGCCTGTGAAGGCAGGAGAGAGGGAAGTCACGGGCGGGAGCGCGCTCTCCATTTCTCTGACCCTTCATCAGCCTTCTCCAAGCGCAGGGCAACATACCCGAAAACGCCCTTTGCACAGAGTGGGTTAATCCATGGGCGGAATGAACCGTGAGCCAACATACACCCTTGGACTCAGGCCCGTGGGTCTCACCTATTGCAAAAGCCCTTTAACAACACTGTCAGCAGACTTCCCCTTCCTCTCCTTGCTCCACGAGAACCACACTGGGTCACCACAGACAGGACCCAGGGTTGTGGGCTCATGGACTGGAAGGAGTTAAGTCGACTGGTGCTGTTCACATGCAGGTATTCATTCGAATCACCTGGCCAGACACAGTGGCTCGCGCCTGTAATCCCAGCACATTGGAAGGCTGAGGTGGGCCGATCATGAGGTCAAGAGATCGAGACCATCCTGGCCAACACGGTGAAACCCCCGTCTCTATTAAAAATACAAAAATTAGCAAAGCGTGGTGGTGCCTGCCTGTCATCCCAGCTACTCGGGACGCTGAAGCAGGAGAATCGCTTGAATCTGGGAGGCGGAGGTTGCAGTGAGCTGAGATCGTGCCACGGCACTCCAGCCTCATGACAGAGCAAGACGAGGAGGAGCAGGAGCAGGAGGAGGAGGAGGAGGAGCAGGAGGAGGAAGGAGGAGGAAGGAGAAGGAGGAGGAGGAGGGGGCACCGCGCTGATTCACTAGAACAGACCCACGTGGGAACAGATACGTGCTGGCTGTTTACAGAAAGCTTCTAGACACAAGGTTAAACAGAGGAGAAAACTGGCTGCCGGGTACACGCGCCAGGCTGCTGTCTTGCACAGATCTGTGCTAAGCAAAATCGACTCCTTATCTAAGGAGCTCTTATGAAAGCATCAGCGTATTACATGGTGTTTTGTTACTGCAGATTTTTTTCTCCCTGCTAGACCCTGAGGATGCTGGCAAATAAGACACATTCCCACCTGTGTGGGGCTGCCATTGAGAGAACGCAACTTCACTACGGAAGAGGCACAGAGGGAATTCGGGACAGGTGTACCTGCAGGGCAGGCTCCTTAGACAAGGCGGTCACGAGCCATGCCCTGAAGGAAAAGGAGGGATTATTTGAAATTGCAACTGCCAGGCCGAGGTGGGCAGATCACTTGGGCACAGGAGTTTGGGACCAGCCTGGGCTACAGGGCGAAACCCCATCTCTACAAAAAATACAAACATCAGCAGGGCGTGGTGGCCTGCACCTACAGTCCTAGCTACTCGGGAGGTTGAGATCGCACCACTGCACTCCGCTCTAGGAGACAGACCAAGACCTTGTCTCAAAAACGAAAAAAGAAAGTAAAGGCAAGAAGCTGCCCTGGAACATTCAGGGTTTACTAACATTATGGACCAAATCACTGGAGGCAGGCAGAGTTTATGTCGCTCTGGCACAGGGGGCCTGTAAGCGCCTCTGCGTTACTTCCAAAACAAAGCAGCCCTTTTTCTTTCTAAGACAGTGTCTCACCGTCACCCAGGCTGGAGTGCAGTGGCAGGATCAACGGCTTACCGCAACCTCCACCTCCCAGGCTCAAGCAGGTCTCCTGCCTCAGCCTCCCAAGTAACCGGGACTACGGGCCCACAGCACCATGCCCAGCTAATTTTTCTGTACTTTTTGCTGTGTTGGTCTCAAACTCCCGGGCTCAAGCGACCCTCCTGCCTCGGCCTCCCAAAGTACTGGGATGACAGGCATGAGCCACCCCACCCATCCTAAAACGGCTTGTCTTACTTGACAACACCCAGATAAGCAAATTGCTTACATCCACGACTTCGTCTTTGGACCAAAAGTGTGACACGAGAACGTTTTCTCCATCAGACACTCTGGTGAGCGAGATGCCTATTTTGCCCGAGATGAGCTGGTGGACGTTGGCTGGGAGGCATTTGTAGAGACGCTGTCGGAAGAACTCGTTCATGTTGAAGGATGGATGGAAGATGCCGATGTTCCGACTCCTGGCCTTCCGGGTAAGTTCCGAGAGGATCTCCAGTACCTGGTCTGGGGACGGGACAGACACGTTAAAGAATGTACCACACTGGGATGGCAGGGCCAGAAACCAGACAACAAGGATGCCACCAACCTTCTTCTAGACCACTACTGTCTACTACAGTAGCCACATGTGGCTCTTACGCCCTTGAAAGGCTCCTCCGAACTGAGATGTGTAAAATACACACAGGATTTCAGTGGCTTATGGAATGTCTCATTAGCAATTTTTTACATTCATTAGATGTGAAATGATATTTTGGATATAGCGGGCGTAGTGAAATTAATTCTACCTATGTCTTTTACTTTATTCAATGTGGCTTCTAGGAAACGCACAGTGACATCATGGCTTGCAGTACCTCCCTACCAGACAGCACTACTGCAGGCCTTAGCCACAGGAACGAGCCTCTCACTTCCAGAAGCCCAGGTGAGCAGGCCCCACCTCCACGCCTCACAAAGTCGGAAGCCAGGAACATATCAGCATGAGAGCTTTGGTGCAGAAGATATGACCTCACCCACCGGCCTGGCCTCTCGGGCTGATCTGCACTCTCCTGCCACGCAGGACAGCCCCTCCCAGCCCGACCCCTTGCCAGCCATAAATCCTGGGATGAACAGGGACAGGCACGCCCCAGCCTGTCCTGACCCACGTCTGATCTTCACTCACAGCTCTCCTTCCCTGACTGGCCCCCCGAAGCATGGCCAGAAGGGGTGGAACTGAATGTGGCTGCAGGTTCAGCCTGCCCCTCCTGCCAAGTTAGCCTCAGCTCTGAGCATGGAGGAGCTCTGTGCAGGACGCAGCCCCAGGAGCACACCCCACTGTGAGACGTGGAGTTAAAGCAGGAACCTGGAACGCTGGAACGCAGGGAGTGGCTCCTCCCAAAGCCTCCAGATCCACTTTCCAGGGACTTGATGGTTCTTGGGCCTCTGTGGCTTGCTGCGGAAAGCCCCAGGCTGCACCTGTCCTCTGCCCAGTAAGGAATCCTTTCTATGCCAGAGTGACTGTACTCTGGGCTCCTGGGATCACTGCATTTGAATTCTGTCCCAGTACAAACATTTGTCCACATGGGTGTCCACAGGTCACCTTGGGATACAAGCGCTGACTTGCATTGTTGATGAAGCCCTGGGTGTGCGGACGGTCATGTGACCGGTCTAATCCTCCTAGACTTCCTGCCCTTTGCTCCTCTTTCCCTGGCTGGGGAAGGCAGACAGCCAGAACTGTCTAATCCCTAATCCCTAATCCCCAATCCCCACCTCCCAGTCAGCCCAGGGACCGCTCACTGCTCCTACCCAATGGCAGGGCTTGGTCCACCAGCAGGGACTTCCTCACCACTAAACTGGTCACTCCCTGCTGGCTCTGGCAGGCAGGGCAGAGAGTCCATTGTTAAGGAAGCCCAGATAAAACGGGGCTGATCGGGGCATGATCTCCTGCCTGGGGACCTGTGGGTGTCAACAGCTCCGCACTGCTTCTTGCCCTAGCCCCTGCCCGCTGGCTCAGAACCCTCTCCTCACCTCCAGCACTAGACAGCAAATTCCCGGGAAGGATATCACACACCCCAGTAGTTCCCACTAGTGAGAAACAAACCCTCCGTCTGCCCCTCCCACAGGTGCTCACGTGGACAAATGTTTCATTAGGACAAGATTCAGATACACAGGATCTCACTTCAAGGGGTACTCAGCTGGTGGGGGGCAGGGAGATAGGCCAAGGTCAGGGGAGACTAGAGGAGAGGATGGGATTGGGGGGTGTCCAGGGATGCACTCCAGCCCCCAGGAAGGGTCCCAAACACTGGAGGAGGAGGAAAAGCAGGAGGAAGACGCCAGTTAGCCTGCCCTGGAGGATGCCCAGGGTCGCCCTTCTGGGAGGCTACCCAGCCCCCAGAAGGCTGGGCTGTGCCCCAAAGAGCTGGGGTGTCTTGAGTTCCTCAACCCCCAGAGGGAAGGTGCCCACGCTGGGGCACCGGCCAAAGCCCCACTCTTGGTCTCTGGCAAATCACCTGCACCTCCAGAGGGGACATTGGAGACCCGGGGACCGCAGGGGCAAACATCACCCTCAGCCCCGGGTCCCGGTCCCAGGTCCTCGTCGCTCCGAGACGCCCCGGCTCTCGGTCCGGAACCGAGGGGCTCCCTTCGTGCACCGGCGCCAGATGGGGGCAGGGGCGGGGACGCGCGAGAGCCCCAGGCTTCGGAAGCCTGCGTGCCGGCCCGGACCGCTCAGGGGTTCCAAAGCCCCCTTCCAGGGCCCAGGGAACGGCGCCCCCGGAGGAAGCCGGTGCACCGGAGGGGACCCTGGGGGCGCCCCCGGAGGAAGCCGGTGCACCGGAGGGGACCCTGGGGGCGCACCCCGCCGTGTCTAGGGAACGGCGCCCCCGGAGGAAGCCGGTGCACCGGAGGGGACCCTGGGGGCGCCCCCGGAGGAAGCCGGTGCACCGGAGGGGACCCTGGGGGCGCACCCCGCCGTGTCTAGGGAACGGCGCCCCCGGAGGAAGCCGGTGCACCGGAGGGGACCCTGGGGGCGCCCCCGGAGGAAGCCGGTGCACCGGAGGGGACCCTGGGGGCGCCCCCGGAGGAAGCCGGTGCACCGGAGGGGACCCTCGGGGCGCACCCCGCCGTGTCCGCGCCCGACCCCGCTCCTCCCGGGCCCCCTCCCACCGCCCCCGGCCGAAGGGGCGCCACCCCCGCGCCGAGCCCCGGACGCACCCAGCGGGACCCCGCAGAGGACCGAGACGCCGTGCAGCGCCCCCGCCGAGGCGCCGAAGAACATGCGCGCGTCGCGGAGCAGGTGCGGGGCGTGCTCGCTCAGGCAGCGGGTCGCCCCGACGTGGTAGAAGCCCAGGAAGCCGCAGCCCGCGAAGGACAAGCTCCAGCCGCGCTCGGCGTCGTACATGGCGGCTGCGGGGCCGGGGTCGGGGGCGGCTCGGGCTCCGGTGCGGCCGCTGCGCCCCGCGCTCCGGACCGGCCTGGGCGGCTCCGCCGGCGAGTCCCCGAGCGGCGTCGGCCCCGCCCCCCTCGGACCATGCAAATGAGCCGGCGGGAGGCCCAATGGGCGGGCAGGACGCCTTCCCGGGCGGGGCTTCGAGGGGGCATGGGGGCGGGGCTGGGGCGGGGCTGGGGGCGGGGCTGGGGCTGGGAGGGGACGGGGCGAGGGCGGAGAGGGGACGGAGCGGGGGCGGGGGAGGGGGGGAGGGGGCGGGGGAGGGGTGGGAACGGGGACGAAGATGGGTCGGGGACGGTGCAGGGAGGGGGAAATGAGGACGGGGTAGGGGGATGGGTCGGGGACGAGGCCTGGAAGGGGGCTGGGGGCGGGGACGGGGTCGGGGACGGGGATGGGTCCGGGACGGGGGCTGAGAGGGGGCTGGGGCTGTTTCAGGGGCTGGGAGGGGGATGGGTGCGAGGACGGGGGCTGGGGGGGCGTGGGGGAGGGCCTGTGAGGAGGGGTCCAGCCTGGGCGCCCCCCTCAGCGACTCCGGAGAAAGCGTTTTTCCAGAACTCCGAGAGTCCCTGCAGGTCCTGGAGAGAAAGGCCTCCCTCAGCGTCCGCGTCGTCGGCGTCGTGGCGGAGGTGTGGGAGGGAGCCGCGGTCTGGGCCCGCGTGACCCTTCCCAGCCCTTTGACACCGTATCCGGCCCCTTCTGACACGGGGAGAGTCAGCCTAAAGCAGGTGCCGGCACCTGAAGTGTCGAACCTCTTTGCGTTGCGGCAGGTTTCCTGTATGGATTGTCTTCAAGTGGGACGGATCTTTTTACTGAATGACAGTAACAGGGAGCGTCCATTTCAAAGTTTCCTTAGAAAGTAAAAAATGGGACTGGCAGGTGCTGGGGCTGGGGTCGGGGCCTGCAGAAACCCGAGGAGGGAAGTGGGTTGGGCAGCTGAGGCCTAGATGATTCCTGCTGCTCGGTCTTTGTTCAGGCGCAAAAACAAAATACTGCAGGCGGAGCAGCTTACAAACCAGAGATTGATTTCTCTCCTTTTTCTCCCCCCAGGCTGGAGTGCAGTGGCGTTATCTCGGCCCATGGCAGCCTCCACCTCCCTGGTTCAATTGATTCTCCTGCCTCAGCCTCCCAAGTAGCTGGGATTATAAGCATGCACCACCACACCTGACTGATTTTTTGTATTTTTAGTAGAGATGGAATTTCAACATTGTTGGCCAGGCTACTCTTGAACTCCTGACCTCAAGTATCGCCTGCCTCAACCTCCCAAAGTGCTGGGATTCCAGGTGTGAGCCACTGTGCCTGGCCTATTTCCCTATCTCACAGTTCTGGAGGCTGGAAAGCCCAAGTTCGGGATGCCAGCAGACTTGGTTCCCGGTGAGCGGCATGGCTCCTAGAGGGTGACTTCCTACCACACCCTCACCTCTGGGCCTCTTTGATAAGGGCACGAACTTCATTCATGAGGGTGCCACCGTCTCATCAAATCATCTTCCAAAGGTCCCCACCTGCAAAGACCATCACCTTAAAGGGTAGGTTTTCAACAGAAGACCTTTGGTGCGGACACAAACCTTCAGATTGTAGTATGCCCTTAGGAGATGCCTAAGAGTCCCCTTAACCTGGACTTAGCCCTGGCACTGGGTGGCGCACGCCCATGGCAGTCCATGGGGAGAAGTGAGCCCTTGGTCCAGAGCTCCTCACTGGAGGACCCCGGTCTGCCAGGCCATCCAGTCCCTAACTGGAGTGGACCAAGAAGCCTCCCACTTCTCGGTGAGGCCAGGAGGAACGCAGAGTATGTGAGCTTTGGGTTCGGGCCTCCTCCGTCTCTGTGGCCGTGTCCTCATCTGCGGAATGACTGGCGGTGTTGCTGCCGATTCCAAATGTCACCTGAGAAGCACCTGGACTGGTCAGGTGGTTTGTGTTCAACAGAGCGTCTCCGATCTACTGCATTCCCCGCTTCTGCCCTGCCTAGAGAGGGAGAGGAGCTGCGAGCAGGGCTGCCTCCTGTCTCTGGGCAGGAATCCCAGGGTGTGGGAGCTTCAGGCCATAGTGAATACCTGGGCTGACTGCCTCGTCACATAAACACTTTGTAGATGGACGTCCAGAGCAAGGCTGGGTCAGGCCCTAAGTCCTGGGGACAGTCAGGAGAGCTGGGAACCAGACAGTAGTCCCATCTGTTCCTGACATGTTGGCTTTGCTGGAGGGGGGCACTGCCCACAGTCCTGGCCAAACTGCCCTCCACTCCCACCTCACAGTCGGGGCTGCAACAGAACTGAGGCTTCCGGCTGGGTCAGCTGGGATCAGGACCTCTAGCCTCCTGTACCCACCCACCGCTCCCACATTGCATGACCAGTCTTAGGACTCATGACGGGAGGGCCAGGTCTTGCTACAGGAATTTGGGGCTGTGACTGAAGGCCTGAGATGAGTCACACCAGCCACAGATATTTGTATTTCTTCCTGTCCACTGGGACTCATTCATGGCCAGCCACACCAGACATCCGTCATCCCCAGCGTGACCCAGATGTGGGCAGGACAGGAGCAGGGCTGAGGACTCACCCTGTCTTCATCACTGCATGCGGATCGCACCTGGGGGCCCTCCTCACTTTCCAGTGAGAAAGAGAGGACGCAGCTGGGCAAGGGTTTCATGATCCAGCTCTTTCAGCCCCTCTTCCAGCCTCCAGTGGGTCAGGCACATGATATCATGGTTGAGACTGCAAGCTTTGTCATCAGACAGCGAGTGCACAAATGCCAGCTTCTCTGGCCTTGCAAGCATCATTTAGTCTCTCAGAGCTTCAGTTTTTATATCTGTACCATGGGGGAGAAAACAGTTGCGTGCGGGGCATTATCAGGTTAAATGTGATGAACAGTGTGGGGAACATTCCCGTGTGAGACCCCCAAAAGGCGTGAGTCTCACTATACGGTGAGTTTGATCCCAAACAGTTTCCTACTGGAGGCAGTCGAGCTATCCGGAAATACAGGAACTTAAAGATGAATGATCAGTTTCTAACATCAACCACAATATCGTTTGGGCCTAAAACTATGCGTTGCTGCTAGACCAATTGACCCCCTGCCTGCAACCAGTTCCTGCTTTTAACCTTTTTATGACTCTTTAAGAATAAGCCTTAAACCTTACTTACCTGAGTGCCTTGTACCCTAGATAATGGTTTAACTGTCGATATTTGCAAAGCAAAATGCCACCATAAGGGATGGCTTTGATTCCTGACTCAGAGATTCCTGAATGGGGAAGTTGAGTTAAGTTGAGTTAGGAGTAGATAAAGGAGAATCCGATTAAAAGACATTCTGATGAGCAAAACCAGAAAAACTTTTCACATCTCAGTTCTAAAACAAGGTCAAACCAGAGATACCTGCAGCCCGGGGGAATAATGTTTGGATGTAAACAAGCTTTGTGAATAATGTTTAGCTGTAAACAAGCTTTGTGAATAATGTTTGGATGCAAGCAAGCTTTGTGATTACAGGAAATTCTGTTACTTTTTACAACCACTGATTGTGTATCTGACTTCTCTATTGTATAGGCCATGTGAGGCATACATTTGCATTTCCTCTTACTATGACCTAAACCAGAGCCAAGAAAGTGTATTTATTCCTGGCCTCTGAAAAATAAAATTTGCTGTTTAGGCACAGCCTATCAGCCCTCCAGACGCCTCGCTTTCTCTCTCTCTCTGTCTTTATTAATTTTCCAGGCGCACTCCCTCTTCCAGGTATTGGGACCCTCTTGCAGGTCGAGAGACCCCCGGGCAGACGTGCCTACCCGTTACGGATGGTCCACGACAAACAGAAAGCACCCAGCACAATGCCTGGCAATCCCATCCCTCTCTCTCTCTCTCTCAGTCCCTGTCTCTCTCTCCCACCCACGCTTCCACACATGGCCCCGTCTGCAATCGGATCCAGCTCTTGGTTGCCAGCATGGAGTTATAAACATTTATTTATTTACTTAGAAATGGAGTCTCGCCCTGTCACCCCAGGCTGGAGTGCAGTGGCACAATCTTGGCTCACTACAACCTCTGCCTCCCGGGTTCAAGCGATGCTCCTGCTTCAGCCTCCCAAGTAGCTGGAATTACAGGCACGGGCCACCACAACCAGCTAATTTTTTGTATCTTTAGTAGAGACGGGGTTTCATCATGTTGGCCAGGCTGGTCTTGATCTCCTGACCTCATGATCTGCCTACCTCAGTCTTCCAAAGTGCTGGGATTACAGGTGTGAGCCACTGTGCCTGGCCAATTATAAACATTTCGTATCTTAAACTCAGTGTTCAGGCCCAAGGGAAACTTCTTTGCATCTCTTGAACAATTCCCTCAAAAGAAAAGTCGCTGCTTTGCCCACGTACAAAGAGTGTGGCTGTGCCCTGCTCACATCAGACACAGACGCTGCTTGGAAGGATGGAGAGGACAGGTGGCTGAGGCACTTGGGAAGGAGGAAAAGTGAATTCGTGTGTCATCAGGCGGCATGGACGCTTGCAAAAGGAAGTGCTCGTTTCCAGGAGTCGTAAGTGTTAGGTAGAAAGGGCCCATTCCCCATGCCCGGGACCCACATCCAGCGGACCGCCTCCGGAGCCCATCCCCTCTTGCCACATGGCTCTTCCTTCTTCTTTGTTTAACCTCCACCAGTCACTCCATAACACCTCACCTGTACTCCCCACCTTAGCCCGCCAAAGCTAAGCCAATCCCTGCACTCCACAATACTCCCCCTTCGCCCATGCCCACCCGCCACCAATCACTTCACAACACCTTGCCTAAACAGGCCGCCGCCCCTATAAAAACCCTCTCCGGCAGCTGCTGGGTGCAGCTCTTCCCTCTCCCGCTCGAGTTGCCCGCAAACCCCAATAAACCTGGACTCGGCTTAACAACTCCTCGCTCTCATTTGCTTTGGGAAGGGTCTCTGCGGGTCGCACATTTGGTGCCGAAACCCGGGAGGTGTGGGCGGCTGGTCCACCAGCGGCCCCCTCCCTTTGGCGACCCCCTTCCTCTGAATTGGCCTCCACACTCCGGATAAGGTAAGTCCATTTACTTGCCTATCTTCCCCGCGGTGCGTGTGGTGGCCTCTTTTCCTTTTGCGTCTCCCCTTCCACGGATCC